TAAACACAAGACATTCTTTCCCAAAAGAACATCTTTAAGGCTCTAATCATCTTCCTCCAAGCAATTTGTGGATACTCTCAGATCACAATTGCAGCTCACGAATTCCACAGCAGCCAGGGCTGCCAGCCCTTTGGAAATTTAAATTGTTTCCAGGTGATCCATGTTTTGTGTGTATGTTTGGTTTCATTTTCCGCTTTTGTTATCAATTCTTAATTTTATTGCATTGCGATCACAGAATGTTAAGTGTACTATTTCTAGTTTCTGGAATTGATTGCATTTTGAGGACCTGGTATAAATCTTTTTTTTTTTTTTTTTTAGTATATCTTGGGGAAAAAAAGAGGTATTTTCTCTTGCTTTTGATATTTTTTATTATGACAAGTTGTGAATATTTACAAAAGGAGCAAGAATAGAATGAGTCCCCATGTTCCCATCTCCCGGCTTCAACAATTATCAACATTTGGCCTTTCCTACTTTATCTAGTTCTCACCTCGTGTTTGTTCTGTGCGGGGTTTTAAAGAGGAAATCCCGCCGAAACCGGTTTGGCTCAGTGGATAGAGCGTCGGCCTGCGGACTGAAGGTTCCCGGGTTCGATTCCGGTCAGGGGCATGTGCCTGGGTTGCGGGCACATCCCCAGTGGGGGGTGTGCAGGAGGCGGCTGATCGATGTTTCTCTCTCATCGATGTTTCTAACTCTCTATCTCTCTCCTTTCCTCTCTGTGAAAAATCAATAAAATATATTTAAAAAAAAAAAATAAATAAAAAAATAAAGAGGAAATCCCAGATGTATTATCACTTCGCCCTTACATACCCGTATAATCACTACAGATAAGGGCTTTAATTTTCATTTTCAGACCAGATGGAATTAGTAATGCCTCACCATTATTAATTACCTAATATGGGGTTTCTGTTCAGTATTCCCAGTTGACTTAGAAACATCATTCCACAGATGGTTAGGGGTGGAGCTCCCATCACCTGTGGGGCTGTGGCACCTTTGAGAATGGAACACATTGGTCTTTCTTTTATTAATTTTGATTTTTCAATGACATATCATTTTATCCTTAAAAATTGTATGTTACAAAGGTATCACCCTAAGGACTGCCCTGGTTGGTTTGTCCTAATTAAAAAGTGAATATTATTATTATGCTCTTGTATGAATTTGTTAAATTTATACTTGAAGTTGTTGGATTATATTATAATCCTAATCAAAGGGCAGATTTAAAGTGACTCCTTAAGCATAAACAAATAGTGAAGTAGTAAAATCTAAAGCTGAGAATGATACCATAACTATTAATTATAGGAAGTCTCCAAGGTTAATATAGACCTGAGTATACTAATTTTGTAATAAACCAGCCAGAGAAAAGTGTGAATAGAGTCAGTATCTGAAAATTGGATTTTATTGGGTTAGTTATTCATTGGCTTCTTCTAGTCACTGATGTATCGTTGATTGCAAAACTTTGTCAAGCAGTGGCATGAAACCGGGGGGGGGGGGGGGGGGGCTTTCACATCATTTTCAAACAAAGCTCCCTGACTTCTTTGTGAAACCAATCAATTGTTGTATTTCTCAGACTAAAAGCAAAATAATTATCTTTCATATAAATCAATTACTTTTGCCCTTAAAGTAAAAACAAACAAAAAAACCCCCAAAACTACCAATTTTTACTGAGTGACAGGCACCATTCTGGCACTTTACACATATTAACTAAATCTTTGCAGGAACCGAGAAAATGAGCGTCTGTTACTATTTTCATTTATTAGGAAAGGGAATATAGCCACAGATGACTGGGTCATTTGCTGGAGGTCACACAGGTGTCAGAAGTGGGAGTTGTACCCAGCAGTCCAGCCTTCTGCACACACTCTTTTAACCCCTGCTCACTTACACCACAGTGGCATCCTCCAAAGTGCACTCCTTATAGGAAAAACAGTTAGGACTCCCACTATTGAAGAAAAGGTTATAAAACCGACCGCCAAGGTAATGATGGCCTCATGCTCAGAGAGAGAAAAAGAATGAGATTTGGCAAAATTTCTTTATGCAATGACCTTGGTAGACATCTAATGACAAATACATGGAACAAGGTTTTCTACAAAAATATTCAAACAAATGTCATAGACTAATCCTAGGCCTTGGCATCACAAAAACAGACCTTTCAATGTTACTGGAAAGTTCTTTGCCCTTCTTAGAAAACAGCCACATGGCCCTTGTAGTTGGAGCAGCGTCCAGTACAATGAAAGGTCGTGGGTTCGGTTCCTCGTCAGGACACATACCTGGGTTGTGGGTTTGATCCCTGGTCAAGGCATGTGCAAGAGCCAACTGATCAATGTTTCTCTCACTCTCCCTTCCACTCCAAAATCAATGAACGTATCCTCAGGTAAAGATTAGACAAACAAACAAAAAACAGGCATATGGATAGTTAGGAAGCAAACATGCATGGCAGTGGTAGAACATGATGTCAGAATTTAATTTAGGTTTAACTTTAATTTTATAGCAAGTATATGAAGACTCACTGACCTTTCCATTATTTACCTAACAAGATGTAAAGAGCTAGCTGAGGACTTGTCTTCTTAGAGCACCCGGCCAACACGCTCCCGTTCTGTCCGGGTTCCTCAGTAGCCGCTGCCGAGGGCCGACGGCCTCTGGTCTGAGTGTAGCCCTCTCGTGACTCAGTGCTCCGTTCCCACACTGGCCTGCACAGTCTTCTGCAGCTTGGTTTCTCACTCACACCGTATGTTTTAAATGCCCCTAAGTGTAGGGCTAGTTGATTGACCTTTACTTCTTTTTGCTCTTTCATTGTTAAAAAACCATTTCTTATTTTCCTGATAACAGTTAGTGTTTCCATTTTTTTGGTCATTCCGTGTAATGCTACGATGAACATTTTCATATGTTTCCTTGTCTATAAGTTAATAAGTGTCTGCGGGGTGGCTATTCTCAAGTTTTGAAGACCCCACAACCCCCCAAAGAGCTCATCTTTGAAAATTCTACAAAGTTCAAGAATATACAAAATGCGTGTGTGTGTGTGTGTGTGTGTGTGTGTGTGTGTGTGTGTGTGTTGGCTGTCAGAGTATGTCATCACATGTGATGTGGCCTGTGGAAAACTCCACTGTAGGCTCGTGATAGGAGGAGAGTTACAAAGGCAAGTAAACTGCTCGTCTTATTATGAAATGAGTTTTTATCTCGAAGGTCCGCTGAAAGGGTCTCAGCAAAGCTCAGGGTTCCCAGGCCACACCTGGAGAACGGCTGCTCTGGGGCATGTTCCGCCGATTGCAAATGTGAGGTTTTGTAGAGTCTGCCCATGTGTAAGTTGACTGGGATTGCCCAGTTGCTTTCCAAAGTAATACTATCCACTTACTCTCGTACTGAAATGAGAGTTTTTATCATTCCACATCACTGTCAACAGTTTGAATTGTGGGACTTTTACATGGTGACCAGGTAAGTCCTTTACTTCCCTTAGCATTCAGCTGTGCGTCTGGGCATTTGTTAAATTTCTCTCGCAGCAGGAATGTCAGGTTATCTATTCCGCCACATGCCTACCAGATCCAGCGGAAGTCCCATCAAAAGATTTAAGAGAGAGAAGCGATGTGGTCAGTTTTCACTATTTAAATAGATCTGTGTGGCCCTGACCGGTTTGGCTCAGTGGATAGAGCATTGGCCTGCGGACTGAGGGGTCCCAGGTTCGGTTCCAGTCAAGGGCATGTACCTTGGTTGCAGGCACATTCCCAGTAGGGGGTGTGCAGGAGGCAGCTGATCGATGTTTCTTTCTCGTTGATGTTTCTAACTCTATCCCTCTCCCTTCCTCTCTGTAAAAAATCAATAAAATATATTTTTTTAAAAATAAATAAATAAATAAATAAATAGATCTGTGTCACTCTGCCTATGTCGCTCAGTGGTTAGAGCATCAGGCAAGTGCACCAAAGGGTTGCAGGTTCAATTCCCGGTCATAGGCACGTACCTGGGTTGCAATTCAATCCCCAGCCCTGGTCAGAGTGCACGTGGGAGGCAACCAATTGATGAGTCTCTCGCACGTTGATGGTTCTCCCTTTCTCTCTCCCTCACTCTCTCCCCTCCTCCCTCCCACTCTCTCTAAAGTAAAATTAATAGAAAAAATAACCTTGGGTGAGGATCAACAACAAAAAATAGATCTGTGTGAAGGGAAGATTAGAAATCGGCAAGACCGGAAGCAAGATGGCCGGTTTGGAGGAAATTAATAATTTGGGGCATGATGTCTTCAGTCGTTTGAGATGTGGGAGTCAAGGTGACCGGCAAGTCGTTGGACATATGAGTCAGGGAAGCAAAGGAAGTAGCCCATTTCAAATCAGAAGGAATAGCCAGTAGTATCAAGCATAGAAACGCACAACCAAATACGGAGTGAAAAGCGCCCACTTCCTCTGGCAGTTAGGGCATTACCGGTTTATTAATAACTAGCAGGTTAACGCTGATGGAGAGGAAAGCACAGAGTGCAGGAGGGGGAGGAAAACAAGCCAAGTACCAGAATACCCCAGCGAGAACGTATACTGACTGTTTCTTTGTGAATCATGGTCATGAGAACAACTATAGAATGTCTGTTCTTCATGAGGAAACCAAGGTAAATGGTCACTGAACATTGAAGCCCTTCCCTTCCACCCCGGCATGTTACTCAGCAGTGCTGTTACAGGAACACGAATAACATCACTGTGCGCAAGTCACTGTTTTTACTCCTGTGAAAATTTTTCTGTTGATTTATATTATAATCTAACGGGTACCGTTTAGATTCACATATTGGCAAATAAATGCACAGCCCTTTTAGAACAAAAAAAAAAATGCCTCAGCAAAAAATTAGCATTGGAATAACAGAGCATCCTTTCTTCTCCTTCTTTCTCTCTCTCTCTCTCTCTCTCTCTCTCTCTCTCTCTCCCTCCCTCCTCCTTTTCCTTTCTCCCACCCACTGGGGAGAAAAAAAGATAAAAGCATATTTGGAAAATAATGGCGACATATCACAAATAATTTGTTTCCTATTTATCTCCTCTCAGATACTGCTAATAAGAAACTCCTGCCACCCCTTCCCCAGCCCACTTCCCTGTAAGTTGGAAACAGACGATCTGTTGCCCGGGTGATATCTCATTACTAAGGCAACCAATTTGGTGCATCAGTGTGAATCCCAGTTTTAAAATGTAATTATGCCAAGATGTGTACATATGCTTGCAACGTGCTTAAAAGAAATCTGTTCCCCTTTGGAAAGAAAACATTTCCCATGTTAGATGAGAGAAAAGGGAAAATAATGCCTTTATTCTTCGCTAGCTAAAATACACCTTTTAGCCGAGCTCCCCTGCTATGCTTGGTAACGCAGCTTGCATTGGTTTCTCCCTCGCCACTTCTTTTCTTTCCTTAACTTGAGATGTTCCCGTTCCAAGACACTTCTCTCTTGAGACCTGTCACTCATAACCCAGCAGCTGTTGTCTCCATGACAACACTTTCTGGGCCCTATAAGTGGTGGTAGGGGGAAAAAAATGAAAGGAAAGAAACCCATGGCTACATTTTCATTGCAGTTCTCTTTTTTAATTATTGGAAGCTCAAGAGATTACTCTTTATAAGGAATTAATTAGTGAAGGGGAAGTGATTCCAGAATAGATGTATGCATTAAATTAGAAACTTCTGAACAGTGAGGATTGCTGTTCAAAGATGCAAATCAAAGATCTTACAGGTAGGTGTCCGAGCAAAAGCTGCAGAGCAATGAATTTGTCTTCCTCAACAAAAATGACTGTGTTTAAAAAGAAAAAAAGAGCATTTTGGGTGTGGGGAGTATTTAATTACCAACCTTATTAAATAATGAGATCCGTGTAACTCATTACATTTCCCGTTTTCTGTAGCTGCCAGATAGCTCAGGACGCAGGTTTGTACTCAAACCCAGGAAGCACTCTCGTCTGGGATTTTGAGTGGGACTGCCTCCCTCCCACCGCCAGCCTTGCTCCCACGGCCTCGCTGTCCTCCTGTTACCCGACTTGGAGGCCTGCATTGTCCATGTCACTTCCATGTAAATTCCCTCTGATCCCTTCAGAAATAATTGGGTAATAAATATTAAAGGCAGTGACGGAAATATTTTATTGTCATGGCCATTCACTACAGTGGCAGCACTGACATCTCATGTAAAATATCACCCCAAAAAGGATAATTTTTAAAACTGACGTTGTAAAGGGCTTTTCTAAAGTACCACATATTTCATTAAGCTAAAACCCTTTCGGGATGACAGACTATGTCGTGTTTACCAAATTAGGTCTACAACAGACTATATGTGGTTTAAATGTCAGCGCTACTGTGTTGGGGTGTATTGTATGCTTTTTCTGACGACACCAAATGTATGTAACTATTACCAAGAAATATAAGTATATCGGGGGATTGCTCATATTCTTTTGCCATGGCAAATTTAAACATTCTACTAAGTTTTGCAAGTGAAAAAAAAATGTTTGCGAGCCCTGGCCGGTGTGCCTAAGTGGTTAGAGTGTCAGCCCACACACCTTATAGTATGATTGTGTTAAAGGAGTTCATGGTAAGCGCATGGTAAGTCCCATGTGTTTGCTATTATTATTAACATTGATATTATTAATACTAGTATTTGGTTTGAATTTGTATCAGTTAACTGTTGCCACAGTTGTGCCACAG